GGGGGGAGTGGGACCTGGGAAGAAGAGAGGGGGTGAAGGGGAAAAGTGTTGGTCATGGGGGAAAAGGAAGTTGAGGGGGTGGGGGTAGAATAGGGGGAAGAGGGAATCATAGGATCGAATATAGATGAGGCACCAGAGCGACCTCGAGTGATCTAAAGGGATAACACCAATTGGCAAGCTAAGCAATAGTGGAGAGACCACCTCGAATGCCCATTCCTGATAATGAACTTGATGTCTATAACCATCCGGGAGCCTTCATCCTGTGACTGATGGAAGCAGAGGCAAACACACAATTAATAACTGAACTGAACCCAAGGAACCCAGTGACAGTAGAGAGAGGAGTGATGAGCAAATTGGCAAAGAATGGGCTGGCAAAACCAGCAGAGACAGCTGATCTGAACAGGGGAGAGCTCTTGGACCCCAGACTGACAGTGGGGAGGCCAGCATGGGACTGATCTGGACCCCCCCAAATGTGAGTGTCAGCGAGAAGGCCTGGGCAACCTATGGGGCCCTGAGCTGTGGATCAGTGTCTATCCCTGATATACAAACAGTCTTCGTGTGCCTATAGCACAAAGAGAGATGCTCTCTCAGCCTGGACTCTTAGGGGAGTGCCTGGACCCTACCCAGAGTAAAATGACAGACTCTGATATCCCCTATGTGGATGGATTTGGCAATAGGGTGGGAGGGTGGTGGGGAAGGGGAGTGCGGGAGGAGGGGAGGGAGAGGCAACTGGGATTGACATGTAAAACAAGGTATTTAAATTTTAAAAAATTAAAAAAAAAGGTTTCTCATGTGTGGTGTGGGTTTTTTTTAGGTGGTATTCGGCATTTGTGGGGAGCATCATCAACTCAGATGAGGAAAGTTCATTAAAACTTTGTATATACATACAAAATTATGTTCATTATAGGTTTTTTATGTAAATAGTTAATAACATGATTATGTGTGACTTTTTTAGAATCTCAAATGGCTGAGAAACATTTAAAGAAGTGTTCAATATCCTTTGCTACCAGGGAAATGCAAATCAAAACTGTTGAGATTCTACCTTATACTGGTTAGAATGATTAAGATCAATCACACAAGTGACTGGTCATACTGGCAAGGACGTGGAACAAAGGGAACTGCTCTCCTTTGCTGCTGGCAGTACAAACTTGTCTGAAGAGAGGAGTCCTTTTCATGTTACCAATCCCTGGGTTGAATGGCAATGAGCCTAGCACTAATATCTGTGACAAAACCCTGGATTTAGCTCCTTAGGGGCTGAATAAAGTCTTGTTCTTTACTGCCCAAGAATAGGGGAGGGACACTGGAGGCAGCTATTAGTCACTGGGAAAACTTAGTTGTGGTTCACTCCACAGGTGCAATCCTGGGTGTGAGGGTTGTGGACCCCTGGCTTGCGCGAAATGTCACTATGATGGGGCCAGTACAGAGTTTCCTCTGATACTTGTGCTCAATTTTCACTCTCCTCCAGGTGTCTCTTTTCATGCCATGTTGCATGGAGTTGCTGCTGACTTCAGTTTATCTCTTCTTTTGACTGTGCTGTCTCTCATTTAGCTTTTTTAGTCCCTGTGAAGATGATTTGTTTCATGAATATATGTTCAAATTTTGTGTATCTTTTCAAAGTGAAATATGAAATTTTATGAGGCCTGGAAAACCTAAGGTGATTCTAGACCCATAGATGGTTACTGTTCTCATCTCCTGATCTTTGTATACTTCATGCTATCACAGTGACTTTCTATTCTTTGGGTATGCCAGCTCATCTTCTCTTAAATAGGTATCTATATGGTTCAAACCTTTATTTTCTGTACTTGAGACACAATCCCTCTGGTCCCAGAATAATATATTATTTGTGCTATCCTCTTCTGCCCTTGACTCCCAGTATTTTCTCTATCCTGCATCTTTAACATTTAAGGAGGTATATAGATTCTGTCCCTACTTTCTCAGCAGGATGAACACACTGATTACACTGAAGAACAATACAGTACAGTATCCCCAGTGTCCAAATATTACCTAATACAAAATTTGGTTGAATCAGGGGAAGAATGAGAGATACCATAATAGAGGGAGCCATTATAGGATTGAGGAGAGATCTGGCACTAGTGAGATTTCCAGAGATCTACAAGGATGACACCAACTGGCAAATTAAGCAATAGTGGAGAGGCTACCTTAAATTCCCTTCCTGGATAGTGAGATTGATGACTACCTTGTATGCCATCCTAGAGCTGATGGAAGCAGTGGTAGACACCCAGTTGCAGAGAGGGAGGAGTGATGAGCAAAGGGGTCAAGACCTGGCTGGTGAAACCCATAAAACTGCTGACCTGAACAAGAGGGAGCTCATGGATCCCAGACTGATAGCTGAGAGGCCAGCATAGAACTGATCCAGACCCCCTAAATTTGGATGTCAGTGAGGAGGCCTCAGCAATTTATGGGGCCTTTGGCAGTAGATCATTGTTTATCCCTGTCATACAAATGAACTTTGGTAGCTCTTTCCACATGGAGGGATGCTTTCTCGGCCTGGACACATGGGGAGGGCCTAGGCCCTGCCCCAGATGATATGACAGACTTTAGAGATTCCCCCATGGAGGGCATGTAGGTGTTAGCAGCAGGACAGTCTTTATATAGTGACTCCTCAAGGTTAGGTGTATGGAGGAGGGCAATGACAAAAGGAAGTAGGGTAATGGGAACAGAATGTGGCTGGTTGAGAGGACAAGTTCTAGTGTTCCACAGGAGGACAGAGTGAGTCTAGTTCATGACTTTTGAATATCTAGAATAGAAAAGAGACATTCCATATAAAAGTCCCAGTGAAAAGTATTATTAAAGATATGGAAACCTTAGTTACCCTAATATGATCAGCATGCATTACACATATGTATGAAATATTACATTGGGATCCATAAATATGTGTTACTATGTCTTAATAATTTTTTAATATTTAGGGGGACAAATTGCCAATTAGCCTGAATTGGTAATTATATATGTATTACATTGAATACTTTAATAGAATAATTCAATATAGTTGAATAAACAAACTAAAAATAAAAATTATTAAAAATTAAGGCATAAAGTTCTGTAATGTTTATAGGGAGATGATGGCTGGGCAACCCCAGCTGTTTTCTTGCTCTGCTGTGACCCCCAAGTATCCTTGATCCTTTTGCTTTGAATTGGTAGTTTGCACATTTGAAGAACTGGGTACTTTTGTTGTTTGAGAGTTATGTATGTGTATATAATGTGTTTTGATCAAATTTCCTCTTTGTCTCCCCCTCACTTCTCCTTCCAAAGTTTATATACTCTTTTATTCTAGTTTTTTAAAAAATCACATTGAGTTCACTGGTACTTCCTGTGTGTGTGTGTGGATGTAAGACCACCTACTCAGATGGGTAGCCTCTGAAAGGTGACATCACTGAAGAAAACTGACTCCTTTCCTTAGCAGCCATTAGTTTCCAGTACTTCTTGGCTATGTATGGAACCTTATGAGCCCCTCTAAAGACTTCTAACACTCAGACATCCAGAGATTCTGAGCAGGTTATCTGGTATGATTCAATAATGGAGCTTCTGCCTAAGTCCTCAGGTTGTTATAGTACCTGATTCAGCAGATGGTTAGGCGTTGGACTTAGATCTACTTGTATGTACCTGCAGACTGGATGTGCTTGAGTGAGTGGGAGCCTCTGTTCTCATTTTCAGGATCCCGGAGCCACTGACTGATGCTTGTCTGAGCGGAGATCAAATTCACTGTGCAGGTCTAAGACCTGTACCTGTAAGTATAGCCTAGGGTCAGCGTAGGTCTTGAAACTCACTCTGAATAGCAGTTTGTGTTCTGGTACTGGGTACATGCCTTTTTCCTCAAATGGACATTGTCTTTCTCCCCATTTTGCTGCCTGAAGCCCTGAAATAGGCTTTGCAGGCAATATAGAAAGGTGCATCCTCTCTCCAACACCTATTTTTTAATATCTTTATCATTCTCAGGAATTATGATTGCCACATCATTTCCTTAGTACTTGGAAAGATGTGTGCGTGTGTGCTTAAACAATTTGTTCAAGTTATTACCTTGCTCTCCTTGCTTCTCTCATATTTTATATTTATAAATTATGCTACAATCAAGACACCACCATTAACGTTGTAAATATAGATTCTACTTCCTATTTATCTTCTGTTTTTGCATATTTATGTATTATTTCTGCTTAAGTAAATTTAAATTATAGATTTTCCTAATTTTAATTTATATTATTTTCTTACATTTTCATTATCCAGTTTCCCCTAAGATATATTAATCTTATTGGAAAGGTCAGTAAGATGTTCATATAACTTAATTTTCTTCCATCTCTGAAATTTTCTACACAAGAACTTGAGGAGCATTTATATTTTTCCTTGACTGTTTTTTTTTTTTTGCCCACAAGGTGTTCACTTATGCTAGCAGTCCAGCAGCCTGCTTCTCCAGTTAGTTCCAGATGCTGGGTGGATGATCATACAAACAATAGCAAATAGGTTTCCTTGCCTGTGAGCTTTGTTTGGTTTTCCTGATAAAATACATGGGGGTGGTGGTAGAGGTTCTGTTTTGTTTTTCATTGCTGTGGGCCATATTATTTAATAGTAGTTATATCCATGTACAGCAGTCTTGTAGGATGGCTTTTTTCTCTGCTTTTCATTCACACTTAATTCAATTTAATTTATTTGATATTTTCTCCTTTTGTTCCATCATGCCTAGGCACCCTACCAGCTCCCCTGGAACAAGACTGAATGCTTCAGTAGCCCTTTTATTTCTTTTTGATGTTGTTAAGCTCATTCAACTTAAAGAATACATGTATGTACACATCTGTGTATATATAATTTTTTAAAAATCTTTTTTTTGAGATAGGGTTTCTCTGTATAACTTTGAAGCCAGTCCTGGAACTCACTCTTTATAGAAAACTTTCAAATGCATCATTCTAAAGCTCAGGGTTAAAAAAAAAAGGAGCCACAATAAGCACGGAAATGAAAATCTGGAGGAAAAAAAATCTACTCACACCATGTTCGTTGTATCCATGTCCCTTTATTGTTCTACTGTTTAGCATTTGTTGTCAGCTGATAAAACCCAGGGTAACATGGTAGCTATCATGACATCAAGAGAGGCATTTCATTTCTCAAACTGTTTTTATTTATTTGATTTTTCTAGCTAATCAGGTTGATTTAATCAAAATCATTATTGAGATTTATGTATCCTAAGAGATCAGAACAGTTTGGAGACTATCACATTACATATGAAGAAAACTGTTGAAAATATTAAACATAGTTTGAAGAAGTATCAGCATTCTATCTCGGATGGTGGTTACTCTAGGAGGGGTGGTGGCTGGTGCTGGTGTGGTTGATTCCGTGGGCTTGGTGGTGGTTGTTGCTGGTGTGGTTGATTCTTTGGGTTTGGTGGTGGTTGGTGCTGGTGTGGTTGATTCCTTGGGCTTGGTGGTGGTTGTTGCTGGTGTGGTTGATTCCGTGGGCTTGGTGGTGGTTGTTGCTGGTGTGGTTGATTCCATGGGCTTGGTGGTGGTTGTTGCTGGTGTGGTTGATTCCGTGGGCTTGGTGGTGGTTGTTGCTGGTGTGGTTGATTCCGTGGGCTTGGTGGTGGTTGTTGCTGGTGTGGTTGATTCCGTGGGCTTGGTGGTGGTTGTTGCTGGTGTGGTTGATTCCGTGGGCTTGGTGGTGGTTGTTGCTGGTGTGGTTGATTCCGTGGGCTTGGTGGTGGTTGTTGCTGGTGTGGTTGATTCCGTGGGCTTGGTGGTGGTTGTTGCTGGTGTGGTTGATTCCGTGGGCTTGGTGGTGGTTGTTGCTGGTGTGGTTGATTCCGTGGGCTTGGTGGTGGTTGGTGCTGGTGTGGTTGATTCCGTGGGCTTGGTGGTGGTTGTTGCTGGTGTGGTTGATTCCGTGGGCTTGGTGGTGGTTGTTGCTGGTGTGGTTGATTCCGTGGGCTTGGTGGTGGCTGGTGCTGGTGTGGTTGATTCCGTGGGCTTGGTGGTGGTTGTTGCTGGTGTGGTTGATTCTTTGGGTTTGGTGGTGGTTGGTGCTGGTGTGGTTGATTCCTTGGGCTTGGTGGTGGTTGTTGCTGGTGTGGTTGATTCCGTGGGCTTGGTGGTGGTTGTTGCTGGTGTGGTTGATTCCATGGGCTTGGTGGTGGTTGTTGCTGGTGTGGTTGATTCCGTGGGCTTGGTGGTGGTTGTTGCTGGTGTGGTTGATTCCGTGGGCTTGGTGGTGGTTGGTGCTGGTGTGGTTGATTCCGTGGGCTTGGTGGTGGTTGTTGCTGGTGTGGTTGATTCCGTGGGCTTGGTGGTGGTTGGTGCTGGTGTGGTTGATTCCGTGGGCTTGGTGGTGGTTGGTGCTGGTGTGGTTGATTCCGTGGGTTTGGTGGTGGTTGTTGCTGGTGTGGTTGATTCCGTGGGCTTGGTGGTGGTTGTTGCTGGTGTGGTTGATTCCGTGGGCTTGGTGGTGGTTGTTGCTGGTGTGGTTGATTCCGTGGGCTTGGTGGTGGTCGGTGTTGGTGTTGGTGTGGGTGATTCAGTTGGAGGGGCAGTAGTTGGGACTATAGGTGCAGTTGTTGTTTTTATTTTGAGAGGAGTAGGCTGTTTCATAGGATAGCATCTAAATCCACGACGAGGATAACGGGTTATCACCATTTTACTTCCCGGAGGACAAGCTCTTGATTGTAAAGATTGCTTTTGGAGTGAACGTGATCCTCTTTGACTCTCACTAGGCTGTGGAAATAAAAGGAAAAAGAAACCTTTAAATTCCATCATTTGAATTCAAAACCTTAGCATATGTGAATCTACTTGTATTCATTGTTATTTTTATTGTGTAAGTTAGTGGAATAAGGCATGATAATTATATATATATATATACATAGTGCATAATTAACTAAGAACAGTTAATATTTTCATGTTAGGTATTTAAGAATATTTTTATATGCTCTATATATTTGCATTTATATCATAATAGTATATATTTGTGGAATATGGGGACATACCTCAATACATGCATTGATAAAATGAGGTTTTCAGAACCTTTGAGCTCCTCTCTTTTAGTTATTCATAAAATATATTTGATTATTATAAAATATAGTCACCCTAAACATATACATATGCATATAGTATATACACATATATCCCTAAATACATAAATTCAATCTTCTCAGTCTGTATAATATTACTTGCATGCATAGAATTAAAGAATAAAAAACTTTGAAACTTTCACAGATTCATCAAGATGTAAGAATATACTATTTAGCAAGTGATAATTCATTGAAGAAATCAAAAGGGAAATTAATATGTTCCTTGAAATAAGTGAAAATAAAAACACAAGATAGTTAAAGTTCCTAATGATGTGCATTGTTCCAAGGACCTAGAAAGGCAGGAGGACACCAAACCCATTAGTAAGAGGAAATACATAAAGATCAGAGCAGCAATAAATGAGACAGAAAGCTACACAGATCAATTAAACAAAAGTTGTTTTGTGTATATAAAGAAGATCCATATGATAGATTATTAACTATACTCACTAAGAAGAAAGCAAGAAGTCCCAAGTGAACAAAATTAGAGATGAAAGAAACATTAAAATTTACATCACAGAGACAGTGGGTCATTAGAGACCCTTGCAAACAAGTCTTCCAATAAAGGTAAGTTGACTTATTGTTTCTCTAAGATTTTAAGGAAGAAATAATATTGATTCTTCTTAAACTACTCCAAGAACATTGCAAAGGGAGAATTTCTTTCAAGGTTATTCTACAAAAGAAGCATGCCTTGAGACAGAAACCAGTAAAGAACATCCAAAGAACCTGACCACTATCTTTGATGACTATGGATGCAAAAAGACTCAACAAAAATACCAGCAAACTGTTTAAACAAAAGAGGACCATTGGAAATAATTTCAAATGAAAACAAGCCTCCCAGTGGGACCATCTGTAAATACTACTTATCAAACCATTACAAAATTTAGGCAAATTTAGGGTGTTAATTTTTTGATTGAACATGCAACTATTACAAAGTGAATATAAACAACATATCTTTCTAGGAGCCAGTAAAAACAGAATGAGGACATGAACCTTTTTTTACATTACCCTAAAATCTTGTAGATGATATAATCTTACAGATTCTAATACAAGCAATGCAATTAAAAATTAAAAGTTATGGGACCTAGATATACTACTTCTGGGAATATAATCTAAAGAATCTTGATCTTATTGCACAGACATGAGCATCTGTGATTGTGGCTACTGTATTAACAATTGCATTCATATGGCTGCTATATTAACAACAGTAAGGGAATGCAATTAGATGTCCACAAACTGTTGAATAAATGATGAAAATATGGTGCATGAATAAATTACATTGTGTATATGTAAAATTATGAACAGGCAGAAAATTAGTACAATGGAAAATATTATATTAAGTGAGGCAATTCAGACCTAGAAAGACAAATACCACATGTACTCTCTTGTATGCGGGTTTTAGGCTTTAATTTGCATTTGTGTACTTATGTGGGATCCAGTATGTGTAGAGGACAGGAAACTAGAAACCATGGTGATTTCAGTGTGATTGACCCCATAGGCTCCTGTTTGAATGCTTGGTTCACAGTTAGTGAAACTATTTGGGAAGGATTTGGAGGTGTAGCCTTGTTGGAGGTATGTCTGTGTTAAGGGTTGCCTTTGAGGTTTCAGAAACACTTGCTATGTCTAATTAGCTCTTTTTTCTCTGTCTTATGCTTGTGGAACAGTTGTAACTTCTCACCCACTGCTCCAGTTTTGGCAGCCAGACCCATCCAAGGCTTTCTCAGAGGCCCTGATGAAAGGACCTCCAGGAAATTTGATGTTTAAGCCAAGTTTTGTGCTGCAAGAAATGAGAAGTTTTAAAAAGGCCTGATGATGGAGCTGGAGAGATGGTCTAGTGGTTAAGAGCACTGGCTGCTCTTCCAAAGGACCTAGGTTCATTTCCTAGTATCTGCATGGCAGCTCACAACTATCTGTAACTCCAGTTTCATGGGATCTGATGCCCTCATACAGACATACAGGCAGGAAAAACACCAATGCAAATGAAATAAATATTAAAAAAGGCCTGATGAGAAATGGAATAATGGGAATGGTTCCCTTGGCACAAGAGCTCATTCAGTTGAGCTTTTCATGTATAAGCAAGAAAAGGCCTAAAGAATCGTCTATTCCTTAAAAGTATAAAAATATCAAAGCTTATGCAAGTGAAATTTGAGGAGGAGTTTGGGTTACATCCTAAGCAGGCAGTAGAACTTGACAGCATTGGCAACAGGAGTAAAGGGATCTTTTTAGGTCAAGGAAAGCCACTGAGGCCAGGCATGTGGTAGGAGATTCTTGAGTGTGGACCCCCTAGAAGCTATTGCTTACAGATGTGGAAATGGGATGTCTGCCAAAGAGAGCTATACACAGGGCATGGGACCAACTCAAGATAGTTGCAGTCAGCAAAGCTGTGAGGTCAAAGCCACCCTTTGACATTGGTCATGACATTACAGGATTTGGAGTTTGGAGTTTGTCCTGCTGGGTTCCTGTATACCTTTGATCAGTATTCCCCTCTTTGGTTCTTTGCTCCCTTTTGATATCACTATATATATTCTGTGTTATTATATGTTGGAAATATGTAATCTGATTTTTAATTTTACAGGTTTACAATTAAGAGATTTCTTTGCGTCTCAGAAGAGGCCTTGCTTTTAAACAGTTTTGAGACTGTGAAAGACTATGGGGACTTTGAAGTTGGGCTGAATGCACTTTGCATTATGATATAGCCACAACTCTATGGGATCAGAGAGTGGAACATGGTGGTTTGAATGAGAATGGCCCACAGAGGCTCATATATTTGAGAGTTGGTAGGACTATTTGGGAAAGATTAGTAGGTGTAGTCTTGTTGAAAAAGGTGTGTCACTGGGAGCAAGCTTTGAGATTTTACAGTCATTCTTAGTTAGTCCCCTCTGTCTTGTGCTTGTGGATAAGATGTAAACTCTTAAATACTTTTCAGCACAATACCTGCCTGCCTGCTACTATCCCCCTTGCCATGACAATGATGGACTCTAACCCTCCAACAACTCTTTCTTCTGTAAGTTTCCTTGGTTATTATGTCTTTCCATAGAAATAGAAAAGTAACTAAGACACCATGAGATGGGAAAAGGTGGCCTAAAGTGAAGGAGATGTAGTGTGTAATAGGACATTTGATCAGAATCCCGAGAAGGGAATAAAGGAAATAGAAGGGAACAAATTAAGATGGTGGGGGGAAAATTTAGAAGAGGGAGAGAGCACAACCAGAAAAAGTATGTCTGAGAATGCCAAGGAAACTTGTTAAACATTATATGCCAGTTAAAGATAAATGAAAAGTACTTATACTTAAAGAAAATAAAAACCCATGGAGGCCGAGCAGAGTGTTGGTCAAGATGTGGACTTGAATAACCACTAGGGGTCCTTTCATTGTTGTATATAAGGTAGATCAAATGCTTATATTCTCTTTCCCTCTGTTTGCTTATTTCTCAAATAGTTGTAGTAATAATCTTTACCTTATATGGTGGCAGATGATAGGATCATATGCCATCTATGTGAAGTACTTAGACATAGTTAGGTATGGGAAGAAATTGGTATCAACTTGACATATTTTGAACTATATGAAAATAAATGGTGACTTGAAGGTGATACTGGCTCAAGAAATAGCTAAGTAGCACAAAAATGTTCTAGATGAATATGTAGAGGGAAAGTTTTCATAAAAGACAGTGGGACCAAGGAGCTTTGCAGAGAAGATACCATTCGAAATGAGGTTAACATAATTGAATAGCAATGGGAAGAGAGTAGTCAAACTATGCTTATGAGAGCATATTCCAGGAGCATTCAGAACATCTTTGCCAGAGTAGACCACGCAGGAGAATAAATGAATCCCATCACCTTCTTACAATCTTGTGTCTTTGTGTTATGGAAACATCAAACCTCGGGGAAAAGTTTGTCCGGGCTAACCTCCTGTTCCTGGCTCTGGGATAATGGGCAGTGATGGGGAATGTCAGAATCCCCAAATATCAGCAGCATCAGAGATGCATCTAGCGCCTCAGCACTATTAAAGCTATTCCTCACCATTAGAGGCCCCACCCCTTTCCCAAAGGTATCTCCTTAATGCTACATCTCACATCTTTTCCCCTTCCCACACACTTGGGATAGTCTAATCTTCTATTTTACAGAACTGAGGCTGTTGTATATGAAAATTTCTTTCCTTTCCTTCCACACAGCTATAAAACCTATGGGTAAGTCATAGTCCATCTTCCTTTCTAAGAGCTGCCCCCTCCTTTGGGACTGTCCTTTCTTATCACCTTCTGCTCATAGTTTAAGCTTTTCTCTAATCTCTGGCTACATTCTTTAAGTCTATAATATCACTTAATAGCTCAGATATTAATAATCTCATTCTGTAATTAGTACAGCTCTAAAATGATAGGCTTATTACAATAAAAATGGATATTTGAGTTTTATTGGCTATGAGAGAATAGTCATAATACTATAGGTATCAGACTTGATTACCAAGTAAGATGCCATCTTATTTTTTAATTATACACTCTTTTCTGTAAATGGCAACATTGACTATCGCTTCTATTACTACTATATAGCTTGTCTACATTGAAATACAATTATACCTTCTCTGCAGTTTCAATGTTTATGAATTCAAATATAAAAGAATGATTCAATGTGGTATGCTCTTGGGGACTGAGATTTTAA